AGTTAGAGGTGTAAATTGGGTCGGTGCCGTCATGCTAGCCCCGACATGATGGTTTGGGTAGTGTTGAGCCTAGGGTTCTAGGTCCATGGGCCAGCGGGCCGTGTTTGGCCCGCCCGATGACCCCCTCAATGGCTAGTTTCAGCATTTTGGGGTTTTTTATAGAAATACCCTCAAACAAGTATAAACAACTATATAGGGGGTATTTATGTATTTTGGCTTTGGGGGAGAAAGAATGACGCAAATGCCCCCCAATAGCTATATAACAGCTAGTTTGGGGGGCATTTTAGGTAAAGTGAGAAATAACTTTACAATGACCAAAATACCCCTCCCAACAACTAAAAAATGACTAGTTTTTAGGGTATTTTGGGCAATTGAATTATTTTCAATTCTTATAAATAGCCCTATCCTCCACCATTATCATCACACCAATTTAACAATTCTCTTAATCTCTTCTCTAGTTCTTATACTCTCTTAAGTCTTAATCTCTCATACATTCTCTAATTCTCCAATTCTCAACTTTATTGAAGTTTCAACAAGAAAAAGGCTTGTTCAACAACTCAAGTATCTCAAGTTAGCAATTTGGGAGGTTTGGACCATGGTTTTTAAAACCGGATTGGACCGAACGATTGGATCAGAAAACCGGGAATCGGTTAGGTGATTGGTTCCGTTTTACCCCAGAACCGTTATTTCTCCAAAAACCATTGATTTGGTCAGCAAACCGTTGACTCGAGCAGTCAAACTATTCGAACCATCCAACGGTTTTAGCCATTTTTTATTTTATTTTTAATTTTTTTGTCATAATGGGTTGTCCGTTCAGTTTGAACGATTGGACTGGTCCGGTTCGGTTTTAAAAACCTTGGTTTGGATTCTTGGAGTTGAAAGGCTTCAATCATTGAAATCAAGTTGGGATTCTAAACCGACAATTTGGGTAAGTGCAATTAAATTAATTTTTATTTTTTTGAATTAAAAAATTGGTCGGTTCCTCCTAAAACCAATTCCCGAACATGTTCAATGTTGACGATATTCAGTCGCAACATGGTAGTGTTAGCACCGATATGGATGCTATTGATATTGATAAAACTTCCACCCCTAGTAATGATACTAAAGGAAAGAAAAAGAAGGCCACTAAGTTGATTAGCCTGATTTAGAAAATATTTAAAGTAGAGGAGGTTCAGGGGAAGGGAAAAAGAGTTGTTTGCCAAAAATGTAAGAAAGACTTTAACAATTGTAGCAAGGGTAGTACTGGTCATTTGGATAGACATTTGTTCACCCATGAGAAGGAAGAAGAAGAAGAAGAAGGAAAAGAGAGAGAAACAACCATTTTTGTTAGTTGAAGATACTAAATTTGAAAAATGGTTACGTAGTTCTGTAAATCCACAACTTAAAAAAGTTTTTACGAATACTATTAGATCAGATGCTTTAAAAAATTTTTATTCATATAAACAAAATTTAATTTATATGTTATCAAATCTTATTCTAAAGTTGCAATTACTTCTAATATTTGGACTTCTAAATTTAACATAAGTTATATTTGTGTTACCACTTATTTTCTTGATGAAAATTGGCTTTTAAATAAAGGGGTTTTTATAATTCAGTCCACCCCTAGGGTGGAGCCAAGATTTCTAGGGGTGGACTAAATCATGATCGTGGATTGATGCCAAATCCATGAGCAAGATGCGATTTATAGGGGGGGGCTACTAGTAGACTAGGAGGGGGTTGCAATTTCAGATTTTTGAGGTGGATTGCACTTCACTTATGTTAAGTTTTACTAGGCTTGAATGGCCCATATTGGCCCAGCTATTGCTGCAAGTATTTTAAATACTTTCTTTACATGCTTATAGAATTGACAATAAATTATTTTCTATTAGTTTTGATAATGCTAGTAATAATGATTTAGCAATAAATATTTTAAAATCTCAATTTAAATCATGTTTAAATGGTAAATTATTTTATATCAGATGTGCATGTTACATCTTAAATTTATGTATTCAGAATGCTTTAAATATTATTTTTACTCATATTTCTAAAATTAGAAATTGTATTATATATATATATTAAAAGTTTTGGAGCAAGAAAACAAGAATTTAAATATTTATGTCAAAATTATGGTTTAAAATATAAACATTTTATATTAGATGTTAAACATAGATGGAATTCTACCTATGCTATGTTAGAAAGTTGTATTTCTTACAATCAAATTCTTAGTGATTTTTATAATGCAAAAATGCTTACTGATATTATATTTGAGGAAGACTCAGAAATGACAATTTGTATAAGAGATTTTTTAAAACATTTTTATGATGTAACTAATGAATTATCGAATATTTATTGTAATTTAGCTTAATTAATGACGATTAGTGATTATTTTACAAAATATAGAAAAAATCCACAATTTAAAAGTATTATTGAAATAATGGAAAATAAATTAAAAAAAAATATTGGGAGAACATTTCTCCTCTTTATTGCTTAGCTACAATATTAGATCCTATGATTAGGAAAGATGGTTTAGATATTTTACTTGAAACATATTGTGAAAATATGAATGTTGAAATTAGAAATAAAAATGAAGAAATTAATAGTTTATTATTTTAAATGTATAGTTTATATGAATCTGCAATAACGGGGAATAATAAAAAATCTACAACTTGTACAACTGCATTTTCCACTTTTGAACTTGAGTCTAGTAGTGGAAGAGAAAAACTTTTTTATTTAATAAGTAAGAGGCAGAAATCCATTGCATCGACAACAAATTCATTTATTGAACTTAATTTTTATTTACAAGCAGATTTTTTTTTTTTTTTTTTACTTTAGGTGATTCTTCCTTCACCTTAGAGGGAACAAATAATTTTGATATTTTATCCTAGTGGAGTGAACATGCAAAAAATTATCCAGTTCTCGTTGCCATGGCACGTGATCTACTAACCCCTCTAATGTTTACAGTTCCATCATAGTCTTGTTTTAGTGTAGGTACTAGGGTGTTGGACAACATGAGAAGCTGTATGAATGATGAAAGTCTAGAGATATTCATCTGCTTTAAAGATTGGTTGGATGCTGAGGATTGATTACAAGACAAAGAAGGGCATGACACTAGACTTGATGTTTCACTTGAAGCAGATGATCAAAATCAAGAACAATAGGTGAAAAATGATGAAATCAATATTTTTTGTATACTTAATAGTTGTATAGCATTTTTTCAAATTATTGTAAATTTTGTTTTAATTTTATTTGATATTTTTTAGTAATGTAATTTTTATTTTCAATTTGTAATTATATTATACTTTTTATATTTTATTAATATATTCCATTTTCCAATTTTCATATTTCATTCATCCAACCATTGTATGCTTTGTACCATTCAAATTTAAATGAAATAAAATTCCTATTTTTCTTTTAATTTGTTATTCACTTTGAGTATTTGTTTCTTTGACTTCTTATTTGGTTAAGTATTTTCTTTTTTCATTTCTTTGTTAGATTTCTTATTTTTTCAAATAGTTCTCAAATGAAAGTTAAATATTTTTGTTTTATTTAGAAAAGAAATAAAAAATCAAAAATATAAAAAACAAAAAAAACAAAAAAAACCATTCTGGCTCGATTTGGCCTACGCCTAAGGCCTGGCATGACCTAGGATGGCCCGCACTTTGCATGGGAGATCGGCTTCCATCAGGGCAAACTTGTGCTCTCACCATTCTAACAGCCTTTTCCAACCTTGCATTAAGAATATCTCCCCATGAAATAAAACATATAAGCACAGAAATATTCTCAATGCAAGGTAGTAAAGGCTGCTTGAATGGGCTTTGCCCCGACTAAAGCCGAACTCTTTGCATGGGCTGTAGGCGAGCCATGCCGTGTTGACCCGACATGACCCGTTTTACACCTCTAGATAAAGTGGGTGAGAAGCGCATAGTTGGGGTTCGTTAGAGGAGGCTGAATTGCAAGCAATCTATTAAGGAGTCTCTTTTGCAAAGCGATCATATTATGCGTTCCAAGATAAAGCTTCTCTTCCTTAGTCTTGCCTCTTTTACAAGAGACCAAGATATTATTACAAAATTTTATCTCTTCATCCTTTTGCTATGTAAATAGAAAATAAGGGAAAATTCCTGATTAGTACCCTGTACTTTGGCTCAGGTGACAATTTAGTCCCCAAACTTTAAAATACGACGATCCAGTACCTGAATTTTCAAAATGTGACAATCCAGTGCCCGAACTTTCAAAATGTGATAATCTAGTACCTATTGTTAATTAGTATGTTAATCAGCATTAAGTGACATTTGAAAAGTAAAAAATGCCATTTGAATCCCATCTAATTCTCTTTATCAACCATCCTAACATTGACAAAAACTTGAATAGTCCCAAATCATAGCATCTTCTATTCAAAAAAGTTGATAAATGTTTAAAACAATCTAAAATTTGGGACTCTTGAATGATTGACAAAAAGAGATAACATTTTTAAGACATTTTTTACTTTTTAAATGTCATTTAACGCTGATTAACGACAAGTACTATATTATCACATTTTAAAAATTCAGATACTAAATTATCACATGTTGAAATTTCCGATACTGAATTGTCTCATTTTAAAATTCCGGAACCAATGTCCCTACACATATTACTCATATTACAGTGCAAAGGGCAAAAGCTTTGAATAGGGATATTTTTTCTTTTCCATAATACCATGTGAAGAACTTCGTAGATGTTACAGTGTTATAATATTTTTCCAAAAAAAAAAGAAAAAAGAAAATAGAACAAGTCTTTTATCTGTACATAATTGAGGTATGATTTGAACCCAAGTTCAGGCTATGGAATTTTCCCCATCATATAAAAAATAAAATCAAGCCCAATCTAAACCGAAGAGAGATTTTCTACTTTGTCGTGGGACCTATCTTCTGTCAGCAATTAATCACCACGTGGCTATTACTTGCCTCTTACGCATCAGTTGCCATTCAAAACCTGAACTTATTTCTTTTTTGGTGAACCCTCTATCACCATCTAAAATTTATTATTGATGTTTATTAAGCCAAACCGACTCATTTATTAACAACAATCCCCATATACTAATTCCACACACACACACCGTTTCATGATTCATCAACTTTTCGCCCAGACAACATCGCCTGACCTCACCCACTCCTTCCCTTTATTCTTCTTTTGAGGGTCGATGGCTTCGTTCGCTTCCTCAAAATCCTTATCTTTAACTGCCTTTCCCTGTCTCCTCCTCCTCCTCTATTCAGTTTCGCCGTTAAGAGCCGCTGACGGTGACGATAAGCCGTCGGCTTATGAAGTTCTCAACGAGTTCGAGTTCCCGTCAGGTATCCTTCCAAAAGGGGCGGTAGGCTACGATTTGGACAGGTCCACCGGAAAATTCTCCGCCTACCTGAATGGTAGCTGCAGCTTCTCCATTCAGGGTTCCTACAAGCTCGCATACAAATCGACCATCACCGGGGTAATCTCCAAGAACAAACTCAGTAACCTGAAGGGCGTAAGTGTTAAGGTGCTCTTTCTGTGGGTTGACGTTATCGAGGTCACTCGGGAAGGGGACACGCTAGACTTCTCGGTGGGGATCGCTTCAGCCGGTTTCGCGGTTGATAACTTCGAGGAGAGCCCACAGTGCGGGTGCGGATTTAACTGCGTCACTCGGACTGCGCAAGCGAGGAAGATGGGAGCAAATTCATTGGTTTCTTCTTCTTAAATCCTAATTCCCGTCTCCGGGCAATTAAAGGCAAGGTTGTTAAATTATTTCAAGAGCTATCAATCATCAATGTCTGATTCATCTGTATGGTGGGTTTTCTATTTCTCTTCTTCAATCTTGATTCTTGATCCCCTTTCCTTTTCTAAGATGAGCAATCTGTAATCGATATTAAACTTTTATTTTGCACTGTTCTTTAAATTTAACTTTTTGTTGATTATTGTTGGTTTATTGTTTATCCATCTGCTCCCGTTGTTGACTTTTATCGTCACGCAAGACCGAAGACAGCCTAATAAAACAATTTTTTAGTTCTGGAAGAGTACACCATGAGTTCATGACTATGGTTGTCCACCACCTCTTCACGTGACACGTTATATGAACTAGCGTGTCACGGAACGATATCCCATTATCCCTATAGACAACACCGCACACAGGCTGTACAACGGAGAAAGCCAACTTTTTTCCTTATTAGTTTTTTTTTTTTTTTTTTTTCTGGGTCTACTTCGAGCCTGCATTGGAGTAAAGTTTTGCCACGTGGAGGGATGTCGTGGTATAATCGGACCTATTGCCACGCGGGCCTACTGTAATGACTTTTTAGGACTGTAATAGTACGTTAAATGAGCATTTATAGTGTCAAAATAGGTTTTAATCTTTGAGCACTTATAAGTATTTTGACAAGTGTCAAAATAGGTTTTAATTTTTTAGGATATTTTAAGTGACAGATGTAAAAAAATTTTGGAAAAATGACTGATTGGGATGCGGTTTATAGGAGGACTAGACTATGGGGTTGTAATTCAGAATTCGAGCAGCGGAGTAATAATTTGGGAAAATTCCCGATCGCTCGAGTAATAATTTGGTCCTGAATTTCAAAATGCAACAAGCTAGTACTGTGACAATCCAGTACCTTACAAAAAAAATTCAATGGTTTCAAATCTTAGCCTCTTCTATACAAAAAGAGCTGGTGATTGTTTAGAAGAATCTATAACTTAGGACTGTTCATTTTACTTTAATGTTTGGATGGTTGATAAAGAGAATTAAACGGCACTTTTGACTTTTCAAATGTTACTTAACGGTTGATTAATGATTGGTATAGTGTATTGATTGGGAATTTTCCCAATCACTAGATTGTCACATTTTGAAGGTTTGGGTCACATTTTAAAGTCTAGGGACCAAATTGTCATTTGAGTCAAAGTATAGTGTACTGATTGGGAATTTTCCCAAAATGTTTTACAACGTTATGCCCATGGTTTTTAAAATCGACCCGGTCAGGGGTCTGGTTACTGGGTCGAACGGTCTGACTATTTGAACGGTTTGAATGGTTAACCGCCTAGTTCAGCGGTTCATTGACCAAAATCAACGGTTTTGGGGGAAATCCAGTTTTTGGGAAAAACGGAATCGGTCACCTAACCTATTCCCGATTTTTCTAGTCCAATCGTCCGATTGGGTCTGGTTTTGAAAACCATGGTTATGCCTATCAAATCCAAAGTGGTATTGAAAGCGTTCGATGGGAAGAGAAAAGATGCCTTACCCATGTGTCAAAGAGGTCGGTCATTATATATTGGGATGGATATAAAAACGTGGGCCTATAGTGGGCAGTGCGGGTGGAGCGGTGGAGGACACAAAATGATAAGAAATGTTTGGTTGGGTGGAATTAGAATTCCATTTTCATTCTTGTTGGAATGGGGATTGCCCTTTCCTTGGAAATTAAATCTCATTTCTGCTGATATGTGATAGGCCTTGAAACAATTTACCCTTGTCATGATGAAATGAAACCACTAAAGTAAAGCCATTGATGAAGCCCCAAATACTTGATGTATTGTTATTTGGAAATCTCATTTTTGAGAATGAAAAATCTAGCCAATCCTTGAACTTTGATGTTGTTCATTAATACTTTACCTTATTAAATGCCTATGTAGTTTCATATAAGAGGAGGATGGTAGGATAATGAATTAGGGAAGAAAATGTTTTGACCATTTCCACGTTATAAGTCTGGACAAAGAGGGAAGTCTTCTTCCCACACACAGTTTCTCACGGTACACAGCAAAGGAAACGAAATTATTGCTTGTAATGTCATTGAATCAAATGAAAAATGGATGTAGGATAGATTTATGAATTAACGGATGAAAACCTGTTTAGGTTATCATTCATTTCAAAGTAAAATGGGTAATTCTTTTTTTTCCAAGCAGAGTCAAAGTTTTCACCGGTTTCAAATTTTTATTTAGGCTTAGATTAAAAAGAGTATAAATATAAATATGTAGAGCGCAAAACCTTACATTTTTGTAAATTAAATCACCACAAGGGAGGTTGCTCAAATTTTGATGAATAAACCCCAGTTCACCAGCGAGCGTTGCAAGTCGTCGATCTCGTTGACTGGTAGGCATCCTCCGATTATAAATCAAAATATAAACCTACAGCCACGTGGTGAGCTCCGCTTCTGGTAGTTGAAATCACGAACTACCTGGCGCCTCACCCACACATCCTATCATACATTGGAAACATCTGCTCGTGAGGCGCCCATTTGTGACGAGCCGATCCCGTCACCCCTTCTAAATTCCGATCTCTAATCCAATATAGGTAGCATCGTCACCGTGCACCGAAACAAAAAGGTTGAATGAGATCACCTTTTAATTTTTACACAGCCATCCGATTGGAGTAAGTTATTGATATCTCTTAATCTTCTGGTTTTAAAGAAGCAGATTTACGTGATACCAGTCTCGCGGAATCATCTCCATCATACATATCCTCTGGGCTCTGATCCTGGCGCCGAAGGCCGAGCAATCTCCCTTGGAGAGACAAAGACTAGACTAGAGAGAGATGATGAACTTGTTCGGAGTCGTTGGACCTAGATCCGTATCTAATACGGCATGTCTGTCTACCAGACTCGCCTGCCTAACGTTTTTACTATTGCCGCTGTTAACGGCCGCCGACCATACACCGACGGTCTATGAGGCCCTTGAAGATTATGACTTCCCCGTGGGTATTCTCCCAAAAGGGGTCATCGGTTACGATTTGGATAAAACTACCGGCAAGTTCTCTGCGTATTTTAATGGAAGTTGCAGCTTTTCTATCGAGGGTTCGTACCACTTGACTTACGGCTCCACCATTAAAGGCCACATCTCCCGAGGAAAGCTCACCAAGCTAGAGGGTATTAGTGTTAAGGTGTTCTTCTTTTGGCTTAACATTGTCGAGGTTGTTCGGCACGGCGACGATCTTGTATTTTCCGTCGGCATCACTTCTGCTAATTTCGCCGTTGATAACTTTGTGGAGTGCCCGCAGTGCGGGTGTGGTATGGATTGCGTCAATGCCCAAGTAAGGAGCATTCGAATCAACCCTTTTGCTTCTTCTTCTTCTTCTTCTTAGGGATGTTGTCTTCAACTAGAGAGAGAGAAACAAAAGAAAACATTTCCGTTTTCTCCATATTGGAATCCATTCTATTTTTTGTTCGTTTATTTCATATTAATCGGCATTGTCATTTCCTATTTATTTGAATTATGTTTCTATGTCTTGGTCTGGGCATGGTTTGTTGGGTTCTTTTCTCTATCTTTTGTCTGCTTGCGTATTTTGGTTCTTCTCATGGCTATAAAGTTCCCTTTGGTTTTTCTTATAGATGACTATCAGATAATACAAACCACCCAAATAGAACAACCATAGGAAAATGTAAACCTTTGATTGCAACTTGTAACACGGGGTATGGAGTATGGACTTCCATTTTAGTTGGTGAGGGCCAAAAGGTTTTGGATTGAGGAAGAAAGGACAATGGGTTTGATTCTGGATGTTGAATCCTAGTGATGCTCTTGCACCTGATTTTTCTGTTCTTCTTATCTGCCTAACCAAAATTTTTATGGCTGGATCCTGATATTTTCTCTAACTCGTTAACTTAACTCATTATAAAATCCAATTAATAGAAATATAGTAGCAAATTATGTTTCTAGTACTGGCCTCGTAGTGCTATAGTCTGGTTATCCCAATATTTACTAAGGGTCATTTTATCTTCGGCATGGTTATCTTAAGTCTTGGGAGGGTAAACTGGATACGGATCTAGCCTTTCATAATGATAAAACAAATTTATAAAATAATATTAGGGGAAGGGTCAAAGTGGCAAGTCACAATGCAATTCAATCAGTAATGAATTCCTTAGAACGTTCTTTTGGCAAGACAGTCAGCTATGGAGTTGGTTGATTGATATGAGAACCCATGAGAATGAGATTTTTATCCTGGATTCAATTATGATAATATCTAAGGCCTAGTTTTTTTTTTTTTTATTTTTTTTCTTTTTAACCTTTCATTTTCATATGCATAGGATATTATCCAGTAGATAATATAATAGATTTTCTGTGTCTAGTGAAGACAGCTTTGTAGTAATTCAGTGACTTCACTTGTTCAGACAGTAGTTCAGAGTACAGAGGGTTGGGTTGTTTGTAAACTTGTGATCAATGGTGCTAGTTTATTTCTTATATTGCCCAGACTAGAGCTGCATTGGTGTTGACTTTTTTTATCTAATTTTTTTGAGAAAAACCAGGAAGTCTTCATTACTTCAGCGTGTAAATGCAACTGTGGCCTTCCTCACTGGTAGAATGCAAAAAATAAGTTCTCATCCGGTGCAGTGGACTATCAATGAAAGCATAGTATTCTCTGGTTATACACGCTTTCTAGGCCATTAATGGGCTATATTGATTTGTGAAATTTGTTTTGTGGTTGTGCCTAGATTTTGAGCTCTTTATGGGGATATCTTTATGGATACATCTCAAGGTTATGACCATGTTGTACCCTTTAGGACCATAAGCTGCAGACCTGATAGATTTCTTTTCTACTATGGCTGGGTGGAGGGATTTCCCAATCTGTTAGAGGAAATACACCCTCGTTGCACTTCAGATCACTGACCTATCATTGTTGAACACTGATTTGATCATTAAGGCTATGATTGGTTTGAAGGAAAATGCAGGGAAAGGTAGGGAAACTTTTACAAACCTTGTATAGGTTCCCCTGTCTTTCCCTTCCTTTCCCTACCTTTTCCTTTAAACCAAACATAGCCTAAAGGAAAGTCCCCTTTCAGACTGGAAAATTGTGGGCCTTACACAAGGACTTCAAGAACAATGTAGCTGGTTGGTGGGAGGAATGTAGAGGGCTGGGCTGGCTTTAGGCTTTTACAGAAATTAAAATTCCTAAACAGGAAACTAAAATCTTGGGGCGAAGAGTATAATGCCTTTGAAGATGAGAAAAGGAAAATTCTTATGGAACTGGATGAGTTCATGTAAGGAAACAAATTGACACTTTAGATGATTCAGGCAGAGGAAGAAGAGCTGATTTGAGGAAATTATGGGAGAAGGTAGTTAGAAAAGAGGAAATTTTTTGGAGGCAGAGATTGAGAGTGAGATGGCTGAAAGGAGGAGACAAATTCTAGATTCTTCTACGTTTATGCCTAAGGAAGACGCAAGAAAAACTTCATCTCTAAATTGAAAGTGGACCAAAGGACACTGTAGAATACTAAGGAGATCACTGAAGCTGTTCTCCTCTACTTTAAAGGCTTTTACTCTAGGGAAAGACCTTGTCAGTATTTCTTGAGTAGATGGGAAGGATCGACCCTGGCATTGGATAAGAAATCTTGGTTGGAAAGAAGTTTTGAAGAGATAGAAATCAAATAGGCAGTTTTTAGTATAGATGGATTCCCCTTATTCTTCTTTCAAAAGTGTTGGGACATTGTTAAAGAATGCTAGAGTTTTTCAGGGATTTTCACTCCTCTGCCATTGTAAACAAAGGCATAAACTCAACTTTTTCTTTGTCTCATTCCAAAGAAAGGGGGAATTTTGGAGGTCAAGGACTTTAGACCAATAAGCTTGGTAGGGAGAACCTATTAAATATTGACCAAAGTGCTAGCAAGAAGACATAAAGAAGTCCTAGGTGATTTGATTTCCCCAAATCAATTTACCTTTATCAAAGGAAGATAGATTGTGGACAACATTTTAATTGCAAATGAATGTGTGGAAGACAGAAAAGCTTCTGGGAAGCTGAGGGTTCTAGTCAAATTAGACATTGAAAAAGTATATGATAAAGTGGATTGGGACTTCAGTTTAGACTGCTTAAGAATGAGAGGTTTTGGTAGTAGATGGATTAGGTGGATTAAAGGATGCATTGGCTCTTCTTGTTTTTCGGTGCTGCTAAATGGAGAACCTAAGGGATATTTCAAGGCTAGCCGAGTGCTTAGAGAGGGCTGCCTGTTCCCTCCTTTCCTCTTTACCTTGGTGATGGATATCTTTAACTATCTATTTGACAAAGCCAATCTCCTAAATCTGGTTAAGGGATTTGAGGTGGGGAGAGATTTGGTTCATATCTCACACTTATTGATGGAGGGTGATTTGGCCCGGCCTCGCAGCACGGGTACACGTGGGCGTGACCTTGCTCAAACAGTGACTCAGCGTGACAACGCAACTGACATAACCACAACTCGGGGGAGGGTCTCATCGAGTTGAGCTCGGCAACTGGGCGGATAAACTACTCGCCAGAAGCCGTCTTGCCTGCATCTCCTCCCCAGGGTTAAGGCACTTCGGGGTGCCCCGAGGTCGGGGTACCCTGACCTTTCTCGATACCCAAGCTTCTCCTGATGGACTTTGGGCCACTCCCCGACGGGAGCTCACTGACCCAACTCTAGACACCCCGGGGTGAAAACACTTCGGGCCAGACAGCTCGGCATAGCTTGCCACAAGCAGCTCGCTGCCCATGGGATAGCCCGGCATAGGGTAACACGCGAAAGGGTAGTTCGGCGTACCGCCAAAAGATCTCTTGCCTGACCACCGTACCCGACAAATTTGAGGACAGTAGCTGTGTCCCTCGTCAGACATCGTCGCGCCTGTCACCTTTAGAAGGTGCCTTACACCTGACAGGCACGTACCCTGCGACGACGGCCCCGCGCATGCCACCTCAGCCTTGCCTGTAATGGCTGTGGCAGACTGACAGTGGCGGTTATACCTGCCCTGTCAGAAGCCAGAGGGCCTGATGCAACGGAATTCTGTTATAAGGGACTTATTCTCAAGGAACAAGGTATCTTCGAACCATTTGCGCAATCTGGACTCTTAGCCTTCATCTTCCCTTTGCTTCTCACACAGAATATTGACTTAATCGTCGGAGCGTTCCCGCCGGGCAAACCCCCCGGGGATTCTTCTTCTTCCTCCTCGTTTCAGGTACCTCTTAGGAGCCACGTGAGTGCCAGCTAGGAGTGATTAGATCGCGCTACATCATTTGGCGCCGTCTGTGGGAAGCGCTTCGAAAAGCCTTTCTCCAAACTTTCACGTCTCTTTACTCTCCAGAAACTCAACACTCATGGCTTCCTCTAGCAACATCGGATGAAGCACGGAGATGGATAACTCCAAGGAACAACCCCAACTTCCTACTGGCTACATTGGATAGTTCACCATCCCCCTCTTGGCAGACGAAATCCCCAGCTTGAATGTGCCTCTTACAGTGACACCCGTCGTCGCGCCGCTCCCTGCTACAGTCGGAGCGACCTTCACCGAACCTTCGGTCGTGCCCCCGGCGGTCGGCCCGAGCCAACTGGAGGACTTGATGCAGTGGATGCAGGCCATGCAGGCCCAAATGCAACAGTTCCAACAATTTCAGCTCTATCAACAACACGTGCTGCACCAGGTCTCCCAATATCAGTATCAGCAGCAGTTTCCCCAGTTACCTCAACCTCAGCTCTAGCAATCGCAGCTTCCCCCTCGGCACCCAGTCTCGCAACGAGCTAGGTCTCGCCATCAGGAGGAGCACCCATCTCGCCAAGGAGAGGCCCCCTAGAACCCTCCAAGGAGCCAGGCCTCCTCCTGCGGCAGACAAGAAAGACCAGCAGATCCGACCTCGCCACGGGCAGTTAGGTCGGGAGGACCCCAGCTCGCCAGGCCCACGTCGCCTCAGCCCTCAAGGCCTGGTACCCTACTCCTGGAAAACCAACTTGAAATCCTGGCCGCAGGCTCCAAGCAGGAGCCCTCTGTTCGTAGCCATCACTAGCGGCCCGAGCTGCTTCTTGCACACACCATTCCTGACAGTACAAAAGTGAGCAACACAAATGCCGAGCCCACCAAGAAGTAGAGACGCCGTTGCCGAGCTCGCCGGTCTGCCACCCGCGACCTACCCGAGCTCGGAGGCAAAGAAGAGGTAAGCTCGGGCGAGGTCAAGGCACCCATACTTTCAGTTCAATCCCCCTATCTCCCGAGTTCCTGGCAGTCCCAATGCCTAAAGATTTCAAGCTCCCCCCTCTTGATAAGTACGGCGGGTCGTTCGACCCAAACGATCACATAGATGCCTTCCAGTCGCAAATGCACCTAGCAAGAGCAAGTGGGTCGTGCATGTGTGTGGCCCTCTCCACCACTTTCAGAGGAGTAGCCCGCATATGGTACCGGAACCTGGCACCCGGATCAATAAAAAGTTGGGCGCAGTTCGTGCAGGCTTTCACGTCCCACTTTGTTACCAGTAAGCGGTGCCCGCGAACTGAAGAAAGCCTCCTCAACATAGTGCAGAGAGAAGGAGAATCCATCCGGGGC